CAAATGTCACAGTAAACAATATTGATTATACAAGCTTCAGTTTCAATGTATACTGTGTGGTTAGCTTACCTGTTTTCTCGATGAAATGTCCGAATTACTGACGCAACAGTATTTCTGCTGAGATTTGGTTGAACTCTTTGTCCAGCTTCCATCAGTGTCAGTCCATGGTTGATAACATGGTCAATAAGTGTTGCACGGATTTCTCGAGTCAAATTTGGTCCACGTCTTCTTTGTTCAGGTTCTATCAACTCTTCAAGTCCTTCTCTACCTCTTCCTCTACCTAGGTGTCTTCCTCTACCTCCTTCTCTTCCTCTACCTTCTTCTCCTCTACCTATGCCTCTTCCTCTACCTCCTTCTCCTCTTCCTCTACCGCCTTCATCTCCTCTTTGAGCTCCCCCTCTCATTCTCACTCTTCTTCTTCTTCTAACTCCTTCCATTTTTGTTGAAGACAGGTGAACTCACCTGCTGCCTTTTATAGCACATCTGAGTGCTGCGTTTTCAAATTAGCACATGTGTGCTTCCACACCTGGTAGATGTGTTTATCCAATTCGTTCATTAGTGTGGTAATTGGCAATCCGGTGCTTTGTAATTACAAGGAAGTAACCTCACGATCCTTATCTGTGTCTAAGGTGTGAAAATGTGTGTAGAGTTTTACAAATCACTGTGTGTAATGTTTTGCAAAAAGGGTGAGGCGGACATTGTGTGTAATGTTGTGCAAATCTGTAGAGGTGTTTTGCTCATTGGAGTACAATTTTGCTAATTGTGTGGAAATTTTAATTTTAGTGTGTAAACAATCGTAAAAAACTGTAAATGATTGAATTGGGAATTGAATCTCCAACAGGCTTAGTTCTGATGTCTGTTTACTCAATGGATCATCCTGCCTCACTCCCATAGGCTGCTTCACTTGTCAATCATGTTTCTGCTATCTTGACCTTTAATCTGCGATATCTCTCTCACACCACTCTTTCCCATCTCTTCGCATCTTATAGTCAGAAGGGACATAAGGGACAGACATAGAGACCAGGAGAGGGAGAGAGAGTAGAGGGTCGAGATGAGGATAGCGAGGGAGATAGAGAGAGTTCGATGAGAGCGAGTGAGAGAGAGCGAGAGCAGAGACGAAGCGAGAGAGAGAGAGAGAGCGAGCAGAGAGAGAGAGAGAAGCGCGCAGGAGCGAGAGCGAGACGAGCGAGAGCGAGAGGAGCGCGAGCGAGAGCGAGAGAGAGAGCGCGGAGGGGGGAGATGACAGGAGGAGAGAGAGGGAGGAGAGCGAGGGGCGAGGAGAGATGAGAGCGAAGAGAGAGCGAAGAGAGAGGCGAGGAGCTAGTCTCGCGAGAGAGAGAAGTAGCTAGGAGCGATACTCTGAGTTTCGCTCTCTCTCGACAGGAGGTCTTCTTGCTCTCTCTCTCTCTTCTCTCTCTCTCTCTTTCTTTCTTCTCTCTCTCTCTCTCTCTCTCTCTCTCTCGCTCCCAATCCCTCTAATGAGAGTGGTAAGACAATTATCCATTGGACAGTCAGATGGTGGCTCCTTATTGACCGAAGATTCAGTTGATATGTCTTCGGGTCCTTTAGCCCAGGAGAAATCCAACCTGAATATCCCTATTACATGTTTATAACATATTTGCAATGTCTTTACAAATCCCTCATTCATCTTTATTCATTCTCTCTTTCTCTCTGTCCTTCTCCCTTTCTTCTCATTTTCAACCTGAGCAGACAATCAAAATCTGACAGCATTGCACAAAGCGGCGGTGTGTGTGTGTGTGTGTGTGAACTGCAACAGGACAGAGGACTTGCTGCAGTCACATCCTGGCACTGCATTACTAGTGTGTGTGTGTGTGTGTGTGTGTGTGTGTGTATGTGTGTGTGTGTGTGTGTGTGTGTGTGTGTGTGTGTGTGTGTGTGTGTGTGTGTGTGTGTGTGTGTGTGTGTGTGTGTGTGTGTGTGTGTGTGTGTGTGTTTCAAAGGAGGCTTGTGTAAGGAGCTAAAGGAGGACGGGCTCATTGTAATGGCTGGAATGGAATAAATGGAACATATCAAACACATCAAACATATGGAAACCACATGTTTGACTCCGTTCCATTTATACCATTCCAGCCATTACAATGAGCCTGTCCTCCCATAGTTCCTCACACCAGCCTCCACTGGTGTGTGTGTGTGTGTGTGTGCACGCACGCATTTGTATGTAAACATTTGAGAGCACATCTGTGTGTGTCTCTCCCATTACTTTACAGTGAAACTGTTTAGTACTGCCGTCAGAGAGAGAACTAGCCGCCAATCACCCGCCTCCAGTAATGTCCAATCAGTTAAACCCTGTGTCTCTACCTTTAGCGTTGTCAGCACTTTTCTCTACCCCCCCCCTTCCTTATCTCTCTCTGCATATCACCCCTCCTCCCCTCTCTCTATCTCACTCTCTCTCTGTGAATATCTCTCTTTCTCTTTCCGCATTTCTCTCTGCCTCTCTCTCTGTCTCTGCATCTCACTCTCTCTTTCTCTTCCTGTACCTCTCCCTCTGCGTTAACTACTCTTCGATCGGAGAGAGACCGTTCAGAAAAGACAAGACATGACCGTAAAGTAGATCATTTATTTTGTAGTTCCTCCAGACAGCCTGTCAACAACCAGTTATGTTTTATTTATTTGTGTGTGTGTGTGTGTGTATGTGTGTGGTTATTTTGGTTGAAGCAGTGATGAGCTGAAGCCACAAAACCTGGTGCCAGCCCAATATGACTTCTGACCCCTCTCTGTCCAGTTCCCATCATCACACATATCACATGAATTAACACATGGCCAAAGGACAATAACATCATTATCAGCGAAGGATTGGACACATACAGTGCCCTCCACTATTATTGGCACCCCTGTTTAAGATGTGGTCGAGGACTTCCAAAAATTCTCCTTTTTTTTTAAACAACATAGAACCCAAATGCAAAAAAAGAGAAAAATCCAACCTTTTATTTAAGTACATTACTTTGGTGGTAAAAAAAAAAATCACACATTTAGAAAATAAAAAACTTGAAATCATGTGTCCCACAATTATTGGCACCCCTAACAATTCCGCTGAAAATATTAATTGATTTTTAAAAATATATATTTTTCTGTAGTTGCTAAAGTTGGTCAGGGTATCTAGGAACTTTTAATTAGTAATTCATGACTTCCTGTTTCCCTGGGGTATAAATATGACGTGACACAGAGGCCTAATTCTCTTACCCATTTGTCAACATGGCAAAGACAAGAGAACACACCATTCAAGTAAGGCAGATTTGTGTCGACCTTCATAAGTCAGGCAATGGCTACAAGAAAATAGCCACTCGCCTTAACTTGCCCGTATCTACAGTCAGAGGAATCATTAAGAAGTTTAAAACAACTGGAACAGTGACAAACAAGGCTGGAAGAGGTCCCAAGTTTATCTTGCCACAACGCACAGTGAGGAGGATGGTAAGAGAAGTAAAAAAAAAGTCCTAAGCTCACTGTCACAGAATTGCATCAAAGAGTGGCATCTTGGGGTCACAAAGTCTCCAAAACAACCATCAGACGCTCTCTACATGCCAACAAGCTGTTTGGGAGGCATGCAAGGAAAAAGCCTTTTCTCACTAACACTCACAAACGTAAACGTCTGGAGTTTGCTAAGCGGCACTGGGACTTCAACTGGGATCGTGTGCTTTGGTCAGATGAGACTAAGATTGAGCTTTTTGGCAACAAACACTCTAAGTGGGTCTGGCGTAAAACAAAAGATGAGTATGCCGAAAAGCACCTCATGCCCACCGTGAAGTATGGTGGAGGATCTGTGATGCTGTGGGCCTGTTTCTCTTCCAAAGGCCCTGGGAACCTTGTTAGGGTGCATGGCATTATGAACGCTTTGAACTACCAGGACATTTTAAATAAAAACCTGATGGCCTCTGCCAGAAAGCTGAAGATGGGTCGTCATTAGGTCTTTCAGCAGGATAATGATCCAAAACATGTGGCAAAATCTACACAAAAATGGTTCAGCAGTCACAAACTCAAGGTCCTCCCATGGCCATCTCAGTCCCTAGACCTCAACCCAATCGAAAACCTGTGGGGCGAGCTAAAGAGGAGAGTGCATAAGAGAGGACCCAGGACACTGGAAGATCTAGAAAGATTGTGCAAAGAAGAATGGTCAAAGATCCCTCTCTCTGTGTTCTCCAATCTTGTGAAATGTTATAGGAGGAGATTAAGTGCTGTCTTGTTGGCAAAAGGGGGTTGTACAAAGTATTAACATCAGGGGTGCCAATAATTGTGGGACACATGATTTCAAGATTATTTTTTTCTAAATGTGTGATTTTTTTTTTACACCAAAGTAATGTACTTAAATAAAAGGTTGGATTTTTCTCTTTTTTTGCATTTGGGTTCTATGTTGTTTAAAAAAAAAGGAGAATTTTTGGAAGTCCTCGACCACATCTTAAACAGGGGTGCCAATAATTGTGGAGGGCACTGTAACTCCCTACATTAGCCAAACTGGGCATGAAGACCCGGAAGACAGAAGAAATGCACAGTAATTGCACAGAATTCAAATTCAATATCTTAGTACAAATTCTAAGTTATGGAATTCAAATACAATTTCTGTTCCCACTGAAATCGCTGCATAGTCTCCCACCCCCTTTCTGGGCGCAGGGGGATCCGGGGGCATGCTCCCCCGGGATGTTTTTTTTTTGTAGAACAACTGTTAGATGGTCACTTCTGGTGACTTTTTAAAAGGACATTCTACTCCAAAATGAATGAAAATGTAATTATGTTGACACCTGAAATATTAATTTATCTTTAAAAGCATTATAACTTGTAGCCCAACTGATGCAGCATAGCGGCTTTAAATAAATAAGCTTAAGCATGGGTTTGCCCATCTCCATTTACCTCTATGAAAATCGCAAAAGACTCTGAATGCATCAAATGCAACATCTCGGCAGAAGCTCATCTCGGCAGAAATATGTATGTACATTTTATCCATATTTTTTGGAGTGGCGCCAACGATTTAGAAGCAGCTGGGCTCCTTCTCAGAAGAAGTCCTTGGAGGCGGCCTCCACAAAATTGGGTGCGGCCATGAGGATGGCGATGGTACAGATGATGTTGAACACACTGAACCCCACCAGACACAGACGGTCGATGACCACTGCTGCAAACTGCCACTTCTCTGCCACGCTCACCCTGCGGTCCTGCTCACGGAGACCCTCGGCCAGGAACCGCACCTCCGCCAGCAGGGCCTGGAGCTGGGCCTCCGCTTCCCCAGCCTGGAACACCCCGGCCTGGGCATGGCCCGTACCCACTCCCCTTGCTCCAACCCCATCCTCTACACAGCTGGAACCTGAGGATGAGGGGTCAGGATCTGGAGATGTGGGGGGTTGTGGCGGGGGGCTACCGAACGTTGTGGGGGAGGGTGGGTGGTGGTGGAGGATCGGGGTGTCAGAACCCCTTCTTTCTTCTTCTCCTCTTCCTCCTCCTCCTCCTCTTCCTCCTCTCCAGGTGACAGCAGGGTCTGGTTCAGGAAGAATCTGGAAGCCCATGTAGGGCAGGTGTCCATTGGGCTGAGGGTGGGGGGTGGAGGGGAGATTGGTATTAGGGCTGGGGTGTAGGTTAAGAAGGGGCTGGGGATTTCGATTTGGGTTAAGGTGGATATTAGGCTGGGGGTTTGGATTATGGTTGGGATAGGACTGGAGGGTAGGATTGGACAGTGGGTGTGGTAGGGGCTGCCTGAGACTGGCCTGCAGAGAGGTGAGGCTCTGGGGGAAGGTTAAGGGGGCCGTGGTGGGTGTAGTGGGGGGAGAGGAGAAGGTCTTGGTCTGGGGGTTCGAGGGGCTGTGGTGGGGTGTGAGCTCGCCCCACTCTTCTGGACACTTCATCCTCAGAAACCAGGGAACCCACTGGAGTAGAACCAACTCAACCTGAGAGAGACACACACAGAGATAGTAGGCAAGAGGACCCAGGGACCTACTGCGGCAGAACCAACTGAGAGAGAAGGAGAGGACACACACACAGATTAGATACACACACACACACACACATACATAGATGAGAGGAACCAGGGAATGTACTGCAGTAGAACCAACTACACCTGAGAAAAAAGTACAGGACATACAGAAGGTCCAGACAGTCACAGATATGAGAGGAACACACACAGACAGTCACAGATATGAGAGGAACACACACAGACAGTCACAGATATGAGAGGAACACACACAGACAGTCACAGACACACTTCAGGATCAATAGACAGACCTAGAGCCTTACCCACTGAGGCATGTCTCCACTGTTGGGGTCGTGGTGATGGTACTGAAGTACAACTACAGTCGCCACCACTGACATCCCTACGGTAACCATGGTACTCACAAAATACTGACCTAGGATGGAGAGACAGTATTATAGTACACTTACACACAGACACACACACACAAACACACACACAGACACACAGACACACACACACACACACACACACACACACATACAGTCACTGACCTATCAGTGGAATGCAGTCTGAGGTAGCTGGCATAATCTCAGCCACCAGCAACATGAAGAAAGTCTGAGAGAGAAGAATTGTGATGCCTGGAGAGAGAGATGGGCAAAACGATACATTTACGCTGGGAAATACAGCAATACTTGTGGGTAGTACAAGTCTCCATCTCTCTGCCAACTCACCCCACCCATCCATCTCTCTCTCCATCTCTGTTCCTCCCCTCCCCACCCACCCACCCTTTTCTCCTTCCATCTCTGTCCCTCCCCACCCCCTTTTCTCCCTCCATCTCTGTCCCTCCCCTACCCCCTTCTCTCCTTCCAATTCTGTTCCTCCCCTCCCCTACCCCCCTTCTCTCCCTCCATCTCTGTCCCTCCCCTACCCCCCTTCTCTCCCTCCATCTCTGTTCTATCTTTCCCTTACACCTCATCTTCCCTCTGTTCTATCTTTCCCTTACACCTCATCTTCCCTATTTTCATTATATTTTACACTTTCCAGCGCCTTAGCCATCCCCTTTTCACCTCCAACATATCTCCTGTCTTCATCCCTGCTCCCTTTAACTCTCCCCCTCTCCCATTTACATTTTTTTTTACATTTTACATTTTAGTCATTTAGCAGACGCTCTTATCCAGAGCGACTTACAGTTAGTGAGTGCATTCATTATTTAATTTTTTTTACAACATTTTTCCCTTCCCCTGTCCTCCACCTCTCCCTCTTCCCCCCTCTCCTCCCCCTCTTCTCCCCCTCTCCTCCTCCCCCTCTCCTCACCTAGACCTATCTTCTCCCCCGATTGGGCTGGCAGTAGGAACACCAGCAGTGTCAAGGAGGAGATGAGAACACAGGGGACGAGGAGGTTGAGAGCGTAGAACAGAGTTCTCCGCCGTAGGGTCACAACAAAGGTCACGTCAGAGTAGGGCTCTGTACAGCACTCGTAAAATATCTCATGACGATCACCTGGTACACCTATAAGAGGGGGGAGAGATTAGAAAATAAGACAGAGGAGAGAGAGATACAAGAGGGATGGAAAAGAAGAGACGGAGAGTAAAGTGTGGAGGGACAAGCTGGATCGGTGGCAGACAGAGCTGTCTCTCACCCAGCAGTTCCCACTCTCCATTGGACATGTATCCTGACAGGTCAGCCTCCTGCATCTGGAGGTCCAGCAGCCAGCCGTCAAACGTCCACGAGCCAAACTTCAGCTCACAGTGCTGGACGTCAAAGGGAAACCAACGCACGTCCACTTCACACGCACTGCTGAAAATACCTGGGACAGGGAGAGAGGGGGTTGGTGAGAGATGTGGGGGGAGAGGGAGTGAGAGAAGGGAGAGGGGGAGAAAATAAAAGAGAGATTGAGAGAGAAGTGCATTACCGGTAAGGGAAAGTGGGGTAAGTTGAGCCATTTGTTACATTCAGCATCAAGGGAAATACAGTGAGCACCATAATTAATTGGACAGTGAACATTTGTTTGTTATTTTGGTTCTGTACTCTAGCACTTTGAGTTTGAAAGGATACAATTACAATGAGGGTGAAGTGCAGACTGTCAGCTTTAATTTGAGGGTATTTTCATACATATCGGATGAACCGTTTAGAAATTCTAGAAGCTTTTGTACATGGTCCCCCCCATTTTCGGGCATCAAAAAACATTGGACAGTTTAACATAATGAGAATAAAGTAATCATTGTTAATATTTGGTCGCATATCCTTTGCATGCAATGACTGCTTGAAGTCTGCGATGCATCGACATCACCAGACGCTGGGTATCTTCCCTGGTGATGCTCTGCCAGGCCTGTACTGCAGCCATCTTCAGTTCCTGCTTGTTTCGGGGACTTATTGCCTCCAGTCTCCTCTTCAGCATGTAAAATGCATGTTCAATTGGATTCAGATCCGGTGATTGACTCAGCCAGTAATATCGCCTTTCTGTTCTTCAGGCTTATCAGTGGTTTGCATCTTGTAGTGTACCCTCTGTAGTCCTGCTGGTGTAGTCTTCTATGTATGGTAGACTTTGACACATCTACACCTGCATCCAGGAGAGTGTTTTTGATCTGTTGGGCTGTTGTCAGGGGGGTTTTCTTCACCATAGAGAGTATTCTCCGGTCATCCACTACAGTGGTCTTCCTCGGTCTACCAGGTCTGTTGACATAATTGAGTTCACCGGTTGTTTTTTTCTTGTTAATGATGAACCAAACTGTTGACTTGGGCATGGCCAGGGTTTTTGCAATGTTCCTGCTTGATTGATTTTCATTTCTGAGCCTTATGACAGCCAGCTTCATTTGCATCGACAAACACCATGCTCTACCAACTGAGGTACATCCCTGCCAACCATTCCCTCCCTTACACTGGACAACGCTGGGCCAATTGTGCGCCGTCCCATGGGTCTCCCGGTCGCGGCCGGCTACGACAGAGCCTGGATTCGAACCAGGATCTCTAGTGGCACAGCTAGCACTGCGATGCAGTGCATTAGACCACTGCGCCACTTAGGATACCCTCAAATTAAAGCTGACAGTCTGCACTTAACCCTCATTGTCATTGTATCCTTTCAAACTCAAAGTGCTAGAGTACAGAACCAAAATAACAAAAAAATGGTCACTGTCCAATTAATTATGGTGCTCACTGTATAGTATTCTTTCTAACAAAGATATCTACATATATTTCAGGATGTTGTGAATCCCTGGAAATAATCAGAATGAATGTAAACACTACAGTTTTGAAAACACAGCTTGTCCAAAAAAAGGCTCAACTTAGCCCATGGCCATTGGCTCAACTTACCCTAAGGCAAACATTTTGATTATATTAGCCCACACAGCTACAAGGATGTACTTTCATGCTAGGTTTAGGACCTCATATTGAAGCTTATAGAGACCCCAACTGATGTATGATCTACTTTGATCTACGGCGCACAATTGGCCCAGCGTCGTCCAGGGTAGGGGAGGGAATGGCCGGCAGGGAGGTAGCTCAGTTGGTAGAGCATGGCGTTTGCAACGCCAGGGTTGTGGGTTCGATTCCCACGGGGGGCCAGTATGAAAATAAAAAAGAATAATGTATGCACTAACTGTAAGTCGCTCTGGATAAGAGCGTCTGCTAAATGACGTAAATGTAAATGTTTAGATATAAGCATCATGAAACCTCTAACACAATACATTTGTTTGACTTGGTGAAAATACGTTTTTTGGACATAACTTGCTTACCACTTTTTCCATTTAGTTTCTTCCTTCACAGACAAATATTTGATCAAATAATACATTTTGTGTATGATTTCCTAGAAACAAGTGTGGCTCAACTTACCCCACTCTCTAAAATGAGAGAGGACGGTCAGAGAGGAATAAAAAGAGAGAAAGAAAGGTTGATCTATAGACGTACCTGGAGGTAGGTACTCACAGAAGCCACTGGAGTTGACCAGCACGTAGCTCTTAAAGGTGGCATCAAACTTATCATGGGCACTGACATGGACAAAAAAGAAAGATCAGCATGGTGTGTGTGTGTGTGTGTGTGTGTGTGTGTGTGTGTGTGTGTGTGTGTGTGTGTGTGTGTGTGTGTGTGTGTGTGTGTGTGTGTGTGTGTGTGTGTGTGTGTGTGTGTGTGTGTGTATGTGTGTGTGTGTGTATGTGTGTATGTGTGTGTGTGTGTGTGTGTGGTGTGTGTGTGTGTGTGTGTGTGTGTGTGTGTGTGTGTGTGTGTGTGTGTGTGTGTGTGTGTGTGTGTGTGTGTGTGTGTGTGTGTGTGTGTGTGCGTGCGTGCGTGTGTGTGCGTGTGTGTGTGTGCACTTTAAAAAAGCCAACTTAACCAGTTGCTTAATCAGCCTTATTCTGGAAGTTGAATAGACTTCAAAATAGCGTTGAAGTTGATTCAAATGAAAATATCAAGGCAACCAGCTGCAATATGATTTATAGTTTGCTCAAAGCCACGCCCATCATTGACATATTTCCCAGCATGCAGGATGATTTTCAGAATTGTTTGGTTTAATACCTGTGTTTTTGCATACACATTGTTTGGTTGATTCATCTTATGCTACACAAAGATAAATAAAATACATTTTTCTAAACTAATCCAATCTGTTAATCTGGATATCCTCACTCTGGCTGAATTCCAAAAGGAATTACACATAACTTTGCAAGTCAGCAATATGTGACTTGCAGGCTTGATATGGCCTGTAAACCAGGAGTTTCAGATCACTGTGTTAGGGTGTAACTAGTGATGAGCATCCCAAGTCTTTTCGGTGAGCCAGATCTTTTGGCGCCACTCACGTAATGAGCCGTTCATTTTGCTCCCTAACGGCTCTTCATTTAGTAGCGCATAAAAATGTGAGAAAAACCATAAAAAATAGCACATTTCTAATGTAAAGCCTAAAATGTTCCCTACCATTATGCAGATAGTGAAATGTGAGTTCAAATACATTTTTCCGGACTAAATTAGATTGCTTGGCTCTCTCCTCAATAACTATTGTTCCTGCAGTGAGGAATGAACATCTTCAGAGAATGTTTTCATCTACAGATAATGGTTGTCTGGAGCTCAAAAGGCAGCAGTAGCAGGGAGCCAAATGAATGACTCTTTCACAGATACGATACGGTTCCCGACATTCACCAAAAATATCTGTTCAAAAAGAGCCGTTCATTCGCGAACAACTCATCACTAATATGTAATTTATTATCATGTATTGTCATAAAGAGATTCATTTTAAACATATTCACTTACAGTGCCTTTAGAAAGTATTCACAACCCCTTGACTTTATCCACATTTTGTTGTGTTACAACCTGAATTTTAAATTGATTACATTGAGATGTTGTGTCACTGGACTACACAAGATACCCCATAATGTGAAAGTTGAATAAAGTTTTTAGAAATGTTTAGAAATTAATGAAAAATGAAAAGCTGAAATGTCTTGAGTCAATAAGTATTGAACTTTTTTTTATGGCAAGCTTAAATAAGTTCAGGAGTAAAAAAAAAAAAGAAGCTCACTCTGTGTGTAATAATAGTGTTAAACAATGGACTCACTCTGTGTGCAATATTAGTGTTTAATATGATTTTTTCATGACTACCTCATCTCTGTACCCCACACATACAGTGGGGGAAAAAAGTATTTAGTCAGCCACCAATTGTGCAAGTTCTCCCACTTAAAAAGATGAGAGAGGCCTGTAATTTTCATCATAGGTACACGTCAACTATGACAGACAAATTGAGGAAAAAAAATCCAGAAAATCACATTGTAGGATTTTTAATGAATTTATTTGCAAATTATGGTGGAAAATAAGTATTTGGTCACCTACAAACAAGCAAGATTTCTGGCTCTCACAGACCTGTAACTTCTTCTTTAAGAGGCTCCTCTGTCCTCCACTCGTTACCTGTATTAATGGCACCTGTTTGAACTTGTTATCAGTATAAAAGACACCTGTCCACAACCTCAAACAGTCACACTCCAAACTCCACTATGGCCAAGACCAAAGAGCTGTCAAAGGACACCAGAAACAAAATTGTAGACCTGCACCAGGCTGGGAAGACTGAATCTGCAATAGGTAAGCAGCTTGGTTTGAAGAAATCAACTGTGGGAGCAATTATTAGGAAATGGAAGACATACAAGACCACTGATAATCTCCCTCGATCTGGGGCTCCACGCAAGATCTCACCACGTGGGGTCAAAATGATCACAAGAACGGTGAGCAAAAATCCCAGAACCACACGGGGGGACCTAGTGAATGACCTGCAGAGAGCTGGGACCAAAGTAACAAAGCCTACCATCAGTAACACACTAAACCGCCAGGGACTCAAATCCTGCAGTGCCAGACGTGTCCCCCTGCTTAAGCCAGTACATGTCCAGGCCCGTCTGAAGTTTGCTAGAGTGCATTTGGATGATCCAGAAGAGGATTGGGAGAATGTCATATGGTCAGATGAAAACAAAATAGAACTTTTTGGTAAAAACTCAACTCGTCGTGTTTGGAGGACAAAGAATGCTGAGTTGCATCCAAAGAACACCATACCTACTGTGAAGCATGGGGGTGGAAACATCATGCTTTGGGGCTGTTTTTCTGCAAAGGGACCAGGACGACTGATCCGTGTAAAGGAAAGAATGAATGGGGCCATGTATCGTGAGATTTTGAGTGAAAACCTCCTTCCATCAGCAAGGGCATTGAAGATGAAACGTGGCTGGGTCTTTCAGCATGACAATGATCCCAAACACACCGCCCGGGCAACGAAGGAGTGGCTTCGTAAGAAGCATTTCAAGGTCCTGGAGTGGCCTAGCCAGTCTCCAGATCTCAACCCCATAGAAAATCTTTGGAGGGAGTTGAAAGTCTGTGTTGCCCAGCGACAGCCCCAAAACATCACTGCTCTAGAGGAGATCTGCATGGAGGAATGGGCCAAAATACCAGCAACAGTGTGTGAAAACCTTGTGAAGACTTACAGAAAACGTTTGACCTGTGTCATTGCCAACAAAGGGTATATAACAAAGTATTGAGAAACTTTTGTTATTGACCAAATACTTATTTTCCACCATAATTTGCAAATAAATTCATTAAAAATCCTACAATGTGATTTTCTGGAATTCTTGTTCTAATTTTGTCTGTCATAGTTGACGTGTACCTATGATGAAAATTACAGGCCTCTCTCATCTTTTTAAGTGGGAGAACTTGCACAATTGGTGGCTGACTAAATACTTTTTTTCCCCACTGTATAATGATCTGTAAGGTCCCTCAGTCGAGCAGTGAATTTCAAACACAGATTCAACCACAAAGACCAGGGAGATTTTCCAATGCCTCGCAAAGAAGGGTAACTATTGGTAGATGGGTAACAAATTAATAAGCAGACATTGAATAGCCCTTTGAGCATGAAGTTATTAATTACACTTTGGATGGTGTATCAATGCACCCAGTCATTACAAAGATACAGGCTTCCTTCCTAACTCAGTATATTGTACAATCCAGGTGTGCAAAGGTCTTGCTATCTATGCTATTCTGTTGAGCAAATAAGAAACCCTATTGCAGCTGGTTGCCTTGATATTTTAAGTTAAATAAACAAATACATTTTTAGAGAGAGAGAGACCCACACCTGTTGTACAGTAGTATATCAGGTATCCAGACCTGGTCAGTAGTGAAGCGAAGGGTTTTCACTCCTGGGTATTCTGACTGGTTCCACTGAAGGTAGTGGTCAAACCATTGCTATATAAATCCAGTCAATCAATTATTAAGGTTACAGGGGCTGCGTTTACACAGGTAGACCAATTCTGATATTTTTTCCACTAATTGGTCTTTTGACCAATCACATCAGATCTTTTCACGTCAGATGTTTTTCAGAGCATAATACCAATTAGTGAAACAAATATCAGAATTGGGCTGCCTGTCTAAACACAGCTAGGGAGCCACACACACACACACGCATGGACACACATGCAGAGTCACACACGCCCACACACATGCATGGACACACACAGACATGCTCACCATCTGAAGCCAGGCATTAGTGGTGAGGATCTGGTTTTTCTCATCCTGGAATAAGACGAAGACAGTTAAATTAGTGTGTGTGTGTGTGTGTGTGTGTGTGTGTGTGTGTGTGTGTGTGTGTGTGTGTGTGTGTGTGTGTGTGTGTGTGTGTGTGTGTGTGTGTGTGTGTGTGTGTGTGTGTGTGTGTGTGTGTGTGTAAGAGAACATGGGAGCGTACCACATCCATGACTTGTAAGAGAGTGTAGGAGAATCGGACAGTGAGTGGTAGAGAGTCGTTGGCCACAGGTCTCTCCATACGGTTATAGTCCCTCAGTAGCTCCCTCAATAGATTACGCTGGTGGGGACCCTGCTCAGAGACTGAGAGAGGGGGAGGGAGAGAGAGAAGGAGGGGGATAAGGAGTGGAAAGGAGGGAAAGGGATGAGGAGGAGGGAGGAGAGCGGGAGAGCGGGAGAGAGAGAGTGCAATGACGAGAGGGAAAGAATAGGAAGACAGTGGATCAGAGGAGTCAACATAGACAGTTACAAAGAGACAGCTACATTCCAGAAGACAGAAGGAAAAATGCAGGAGCACAACTTTGGTGGGGGGTGGGGGACTTTAGAATGAGATGTTCGACGAGCAGGTGTCCACATACTTTTGGTAATGTAGTGTATATATATATATATACTGTAGCTACAGGCTAGAGCTGAACTGGCTGTGGTAGCTACTCTCTAGCTAATTCATTCACCTCAGTCAAGAGGGGATGAAACATTAGCTAACGTTACATGTCAGTTACACTACTAGCTCAGCACTGGGAATAAACACTAATTTAGTTTTTTTTCTGTTAAGTTAAACAGCATTTACCTAGCCAGCTACATCAGTCAACTAAAGAGTAGCCAGTTTCTGCTCTGCTTGCTTTTACAACTCAGAGAAAGAGCACAACACATACGGACTGACAACAGCTGCCTCTGTTCAACTCTCCCATGCTGGTCCAGCCAGCCTTTCAGAAGGTTGGCCTTCACACAGCCTGTCCACCCGCTCTGTGGTATCCGCGTGGTCCTAAATCCAGCCGGCTAAAACCTCCAAACAGCATACCCGACTGCTCTAAGGTGTCCACATGGTCCTAAAGCACCCTGCTGTTTTTGGTATCACTATGCAATGATAAATGCAATTTCAGAATTTTGGGGGGTCATTCCCCCAGTCCCCAGTGAATGTTGCGCCCCTGGAAAAATGAGAGAGAGAAATATATAGAAAGGGAAAGAGAAAGGAGTAAAGTGAAAGAGAGGAAGAATATCTAAAACAGCTGGAAGAGATGAGCTGTAGGAGAACAAAAGATGAATAGAGAAGGGAGTGACAGAGATAAAAACATGATGAGAACAGAGACACCAAACGAAAGAAGAGATCATTTGAACGGAACGGTTTCAAATGGTTTTGAACGAAGCTGTTTGAAAACGAGTACAGAGATGTATAGATGACTGGAAGAGGCAGAGGGCGGGGAAGTGAAGAGAGGGTGAAAGAGGAGAATCAAGAGCAGAGAGAATGAAGAGATCGATGGAGTATCCAGACAGGCCCATTAATTGTTAAAGGTAGAGTCAGCGATATGACGTAGATTAACAAAGTAAACAGCGTAGTGGGTCAATTTCCGCAACAACTAAAAACGTTGGAGAGCAAGGCTAAACCTCTCTTTCGGTCCCCTGGCTACCACATTGTAATAGCGTGAAGCGAACCTGTGCACATACGCAGATACTGTGTGTGACTGTGTGAGAGCAAAGTATTGCATCTTGCTCATCGCAATATCTACGCTGCTGTTCATGCAACGACATTTCGCTGACTCTACCTTTAAGGGGATCGACCAGTAACAGACAGTCTTTCTGTGGTCGTTAAAACGCCTGATCTATTCCACGCTGGAAATAGTGATGCATTAAACACTAAAAATCTTCAACTCAGACAAACAAACAGACAGACAGACAGACAGACAGGAGGACCAGGAACCTCACTTCTAGCAGCTCCATCGTGGACTGACTTCATTCATTCCCGTTTCACAACTGTATCAGACTTAATGTATCTGTGCAGTTGATTAAATTCTGTAGCAATGTCTAACGAGTGAATGTAGGCCCACATACAGTAGAGTACAGTCTGTATAGCAGCATGTTGCGTTTGTATGTAGTATACTATTATGCACCACAATGCTTGTAAATGACCTTTGTGGGGATTCATTTGTTGTGTTGTATTGCAATGTATTGTATTGTATTCACACCCGTCGCTATGGGCGGGCCATAGGGGGCCGGGCCCGCCCCCAAAAATGCTTGTGCCCCCCACCCCCACTTGAGGGATTTTTTTATTAAATATACATACTGTAGGCTAATAATAATTGTGCCCTGCCCTCCCATGCATTTCATATGCCCCCTTAAGACTGAGGTCTGGCGACGGGTCTGATTGTATTACTCTGGTGAATATCACCCCACAGAAAGAGCATCAATATGCAGTAACTAGATGGATCATATCAATATACAGTCACAAGATGTTAGCCATCTAAGATACTGCTGCTGGTGCAGAGAGGAATAAATCAACCAATAATGGATTAAAACAGACAGGAGGGTTTGATTTTACAACTGTGATGAACAACATCCTAACCTGTAAGTTCTGTGATCGTTCCTCTCTGTTGTCTCTCTTTATTCCTGCTCCTCTTCTCTCCTCCCTCTCTGTTCATTTCCCTCTCCTCTCTTCTCTCTTCTATACAGCTGGAACTGTACGGTTGAGTTATCTCATATATCAATGGCCTTGCCTCCCACTCATACACTACTGATCCTGCACCAAGCCATACACTGCTGACCATGCACCAAGCCATACACTGCTGACCGTGCACCCAGCCATACACTGCTGATCCTGCACCCAGCCATACACTGTCTATACAAAGTTGCATAAATTAACTGTGTCGGTGCAGTGTCATTATGCATACAGTGGTTTGAAATAGAGTGCAATATGTCTCTCTCACACACACACACATACACGCATGCACACGGACGCATGCACGCACATGCGCAATACACACACACACACATATTGTACGTACACGTAGACACAAATATACATACACAAACACACAGAGAGAGCGAGAGAGAGAGAGAGAGAGAGAGAGAGAGAGAGAGAGAGAGAGAGAGAGAGAGAGAATGAAATTCCCTCACCGTGGAGCAGAGCTGAGAGTCCAAACAGACAGATAGCCACAGACTGCCTCATGTTGCACTACTGAACATAGAGAGCAGAGAAAGAGAAAGTGAACAACAGAGACGGAGAGAGAGAGGCAGGGTAGAGTGGAATAGAGTGGGAGGGAGGAGAAGTCAGGAGCAAGTCGGGCAGCAACAGAGGGAGAGAAGAGAAAAGAGAGAGAGACAAGGAAGAGAAGGAGGGTAGGGAGACAGAGAGGCAAGAAGAAAACAAGCTGAGTGGAAGATAGAGAGAGGGAGAAAGAGCGAGGTTGGATTGGTGGAGAGGGAAAGAAGCTGGCAGCAACACAGGAAGAGAGGTACAGGGCAGGAGAGAGGGAGAAAGAGGTGAAGAGGCAGTAGTTACTCTTAGAAAAAAGGATTCCAAAAGGGTTCTTCAGCTGTCCCCATAGGAGAACCCTTTTTGGTTCCAGGTAGAACACTGTTTGGTTCCAGGTAGAACTACACTATATATACAGAAGTATGTGGACACCAGGATTCAGCTATTTCAGCCACACCCGTTGCTGACAGGTGTATAAAATAGAGCACACAGTCATGCAATCGCCATAGACAAACATTTGCAGTAGAATGGCCTTACTGATGAGCTCAGTGACATTCAATGACTGCCCAACTTTCTGCCCCGGTCAACTGTAAGTGCTGTTATTGTGAAGTGGAAACGTCTAGGAGCAACAACGGCTCAGCTGCAAAGTGGTAGGCCACACAAGCTCACAGAACGGGACCGCTGAGTGCTGAAGCACATAGCGCGTAAAAATCGTCTGTCCTCGGTTGCAACACTCACTACCGAGTTCCAAACTGCCTCTGGAAGCAACGTCAGCACAAGAACTGTTCGTCGGGAGCTTCATGAAATGAGTTTCCATGGCCGAGCAGCCGCACACAAGCCTAAGATCACCATGCGCAATGCCAAGCGCTGACTGGAGTGGTGTAAAGCTCGCCGACATTGGACTCTGGAGCACTGGAAACATGTCCTCCGGAGTGATGAATCGCGCTTCACCATCTCGCGGATGCCAGAATAATGCTACCTGCCCGAATGAATAGTGCCAACTGTAAGGTTTGGTGGAGGAGGAATAATGGTCTGGGGCTGTTTTTCATGGTTCGGGCTAGGCCCTTTAGTTCCAGTGAAGGGAAATCTTAACGCTACAGTATACAATGACATTCTAGACGATTCTGTGCTTCCAACTTTTGGCAACAGTTTGGGGAAGGCCCTTTCCTGTTTCAGCATGACAATCCCCCTGTGCAAAAAGCGAGGTCCATACAGAAATGGTGTGTTGAGATCGGTGTGGAAGAACTTGACTGGACTGAACCAAAAGGGGTTCTTCAAAGGGTTCTCCTATGTGGACAGCTGAAGAACCGTTTTAGGTTCTAGATAGCACCTTTATTTCTAAGAGAGAAGTAGTGAGCCAGGCGTTAGCAGCAACAGCGAGAGAGAGGGCAGAGAGGCGAGGGGAAGAGAGGCAGGAAAGCAATAAGCAGTTTTGATACAAATGGAGAGGTTCCCTATGTTCTGGATGGAGAGACTGTGTGAAAGAGGGAGAATCACCTTGATACATTCAGTCATTTCCTTGCTAAAGGACCCATGAGCACCAACATGTGAAGTTCATAGGAGCAGGTCAAATTGGGTGTCAAATGAAAACTAAGTCTATATATTTTTTTAAATTAAGAGTAGAGTTCAGGACACAGTACAGCACACTAGAGTTGAGTAAACTATAATGTAGTGTACTGAGCTATACTCTACTGCACTGTACTGAACTGAACTCTGCTGCACTGTACTGAACTCTTCTGTACTGTACTGAACTATACTCTATTTGACTATACTCTACTGCAGTGGTTCCCAACCGGGGGTACTAGGACCCCTGGGGGTACTTGGCCTATCAACAGGGGGTACTTGAGAAGACTCATGAGACCATAGACTTACTGGTAAAATGCACACAAGATGGTACTTCAGGGGTACTCCGGGCAGAGCTAAATTCAGTTGATGGTACACTAACCAAAAAAGATTGGGAACCACAGCTCTACTGTACTGAACGCTACTGTAATGCACTGAACTCTACTGTTCTGTGCTGTACTCTACTGTACTCTACTGAGCTCTGCTGTGCTGTACTTCGTTGTCCAAACTTGTGAAACATAGACGTCTATGATTGGTTCAGATTTGGTCCGGTCCAGACCAACCAAATTTGGTCTTGTTTGGTGGCGGAGCTCAATAAAATAATAGCTATTGTGTAAAATAATACCCAAATATGCAAAGGAGGATATTGCATATTTCTAACTTTGTGTACCTATTTAGGATACATCGCCATGAAGAGAATGACTTTCATATCCATAATTATTACTCTTGTTATTATACCGTGTATCGTGATGCCTAGTCACTTTACCCTGCCTTTATTTACATACAGTATATGTATCTACATCTAATGCCTCGTAACCCTGCACATTGATCTGGTACTGGTACTCCCTGTATATAGCTTCATTCTTGTGTATGTTATGCCTCTTGTGTTATTATTATTATTTATGTTTTACTCTGCATCGTTGGGAAGGGCTCATAAGCAAGCATTTCAAGGTAAGGTCTACTACACCTGTTGTATTCGGTGAATGTGACAAATACAATTTGATTTGGTTGAATAATTTCTGTGTAGTTCAGATTAGGGACCTAAAATGAAATTCCGTGTCACGCCCTGGCTCTGGGGACTCTTAAATGTTGAGCCAGGGTGTGGATTTTTCTATGTTTAGTTTTCTATGTTTTTTGTTCTAGATCGTTTAGATCTATGTTGGCCAGGGTGGTTCCCAATCAGAGGCAGCTGTAGCTCGTTGTCTCTGATTGGGAACCATACTTAGGCAGCCTGTTGGCACCAGTTAGTTTGTGGGATCTTGATCCGTAAAGGTTTGGTGTGTGTAACCTCAGGACTTCACGTATCGTTTCATTTTGTTGTTTTGTTCGTGTGTTGTGTATCAATAAAGATGTACGCTTATCACGCTGCGCCTTGGTTCCACGAGTCATCAGTCAACGTGCGTGACAGAAGATCCCACCTAAAGAGGACCAAGCAGCGTGTCCAGGAACAGACAGCCTGGACTTGGGAGGAGATCCTGGACGGGAAGGGATCCTGGACTTGGGAAGAGATTCAGGCCGGAATGGATCGCCGTCCTTGGGAGGAGACTGTGGAGGTGCGCTACAGAGAGGAGCAGCGGCAACGCAGAGGGTACCGGCCGAGTAGGAAGCCCGATAGACAGCCCCAATATATTTTTTTTGGGGGGGGGCTAAAAGGGTGGTTGGCGGAGCCTAGAGTTAGAGCAGAGCCAACTCCCCGTACTCAGGCTAGGAAGCGGGAGACTGGGCAGGCTCCGTGTTATGCGGAGCCACGTACTGTGCCGCGAGTGTTCCGGCACAGTCCTGTACGTCCGGTGCTAGCACCACGCACGTGTCGTGCTAAGATGGGCATGCAGCCAGGACGGGGTGTGCCGGCTCAACGCTCGTGGCCTCCAGTACGCCTCCTCTGTCCCGTATATCCTGCGCCAGTGCCACGTGCTGTAGCGCCAGTACGAGTGCACAGCCCTGTACATCCTGTGCTGATGCCACACACATATTGTGTGGAAATAGGCATTCAGCCAGGACGGGTTGTGTCAGCTCTCCGCTCCAGACCTCCAGTCCGCCTCCACAGTCCGGCCCGGCCCGTTCCGGCTCCCCGCACCAAGCCAGTGGTGCGTGTTCCCAGTCCAGCCCGGCCTGTTCCTGCTCCCCGCACCAAGCCAGTGGTGCGCGTCGCCAGCCCGGTCCGGCCCGTTCCGGCTCCCCGCACCAAGCCAGTGGTGCGCGTCGTCAGCCCGGTCCGGCCCGTTCCTGCTCCCCGCACCAAGCCAGTGGTGCGTGTCGTCAGCCCGGTCCGGCCCGTTCCTGCTCCCCGCGCCAAGCCAGTGGTGCGTGTGTCCAGTCCGGCACGGCCTGTGCCTGTTCCACCGGTGCCTGGTCCGGCACAGGTCAGCTGCTCCACTCCGGAGTCAGAGCAATCCGCTCCACCGGGGTCCGGTCCAACTCCAGTCAGCGGATCCACTCCGGAGCCAGAGCAATCCGCTCCACCGGTGTCCAGTCCAGCTCCGGCCAGCGGCTCCAGTCCGGAGCCGGTAAGGTTTGGTCCACCGTCGTCGGGTCCAGCTCCAGTCAGCGGGACCAGACCAGGGGCACAACGGGGAGGTGGAGAAAAGGTGGTGGTCACGCCCGGAGCCGGATCCGCCTCCGAGGCGGAATGCCCACCCGGCCCCTACCCTCTTGTGTTTGTGTGGCGCGGTCGCAGTCCGCGCCTTTGGGGGGGGGGGGGGGTACTGTCGCGCCCTGGCTCTGGGGACTCTTAAATGTTGAGCCAGGGTGTGGATTTTTCTATGTTTAGTTTTCTATGTTTTTTGTTCTAGATCGTTTAGATCTATGTTGGCCAGGGTGGTTCCCAATCAGAGGCAGCTGTAGCTCGTTGTCTCTGATTGGGGACCATACTTAGGCAGCCTGTTGGCACCAGTTAGTTTGTGGGATCTTGATCCGTAAAGGTTTGGTGTGTGTAACCTCAGGACTTCACGTATCGTTTCGTTTTGTTCGTGTGTTGTGTATCAATAAAGATGTACGCTTATCACGCTGCGCCTTGGTTCCACGAGTCATCAGTCAACGTGCGTGACATTCCGTTACCGCAATTCTGTTACCGCAATTCTGTTACCGCAATTATGTTACTGTGTGTAAATCCACTTCACTTACTGTTGTTCAATAACCAAAATAGATTTTTTCAAACTCAAGGTGCCATGTCATAGCTGATACCCCATTCTTTCTGCAGACGTCTTTTAATCTTAAATCGGAGCAGATAATTAACAGAGTTTTTGGAAAACGTGGTCACATAAAAAACTAGATTTACCTCAATTCTGTTACCAAACTTTGCATCAATAAATGTGTTTTTTTTAAATGTTCAGTGTAAATTGTTAAAAGTAGTCCTTATGCATAGAGTTCGTTCAACTTTTAAATAAATGTTTTTTTGTTTGGCACACATTTTAGGTGAAAAATCTTAGTCTCAGCACAATTTCCCATTCCCAATACACTACTCATCTCTCTCTCTCTTACACCCACCTTTCTCCCTGTCTTTCCCCTCTTCTCACTTTCTCTGTCTCTATCCCCCACTCTCTCCCTCCCCCTCCCCTATTGCTCCTCTTCTCTCTCCCTCCCCCTCCCTATTTCTCTCTCCTCTTCCTCTCTCCTCCCCGCCCCTATTCTCCTCTCCTCTTCTCTCTCCTCCCCTCCCCTCTTCTCCTCTTCTCTCTCCCTCCCCCTCCCCTATTTCTCCTCTCCTCTTCTCTCTTCCTCCCCCTCCCCTATTTCTCCTCTTCTTCAGTCTCCAGTGAGAGGGGGAGCAATGAAGTGTGGCTAGGGAGAGGGGGATTAAAAAGTAACATATAGAAAATAGTTAGTGAAGGACGGTTGGGAAAGAGAGAGGGGCAAAAAACTGAGACAGCAGTATTGAACACTGCTCTGATGAAGGTTGGCACAGCCACGCATTAAAACGTATAATTACTGTAAAGAAGTGACACTTTGAAAGTAAGCAGTATACTGTACCATAGCTTCTACTTTGGAATCTCATTATACACTCCAACACACCTGCAACAGACTCAGTTATTGAATGCATAACTCAACCAGTATCAAAAAACAATAACAAAACGTAGGCATGTGCCTAGGGGTAGAGTTTGGGTTTGTTTGAAAATGGGCATTTGTTTGTATACTTGACTGAAAGACGTATGATAATATGATGCACTGACTGTAGCCTACTGGACATTACAGTGACTTCTTTCAGTTTGATTCGCTGTGACTTTGAGCAGGACAGAGGACCCAATTGTATTTTTACTGTTTTTTACATTTACATTTTACATTTAGTCATTTAGCAGATGCTCTTATTCAGAGCGACTTACGAGTTTGTGTTTTTTTTATGACGTCTATGTGGACTTTTGTCTGTATTCTGTTTGTGTATTGTCTATTGCTGGCAGCACCTTCTCACTAAGGCAAATTCCGGGTATGTGTAAATGTACTTGGCGAATAAAGGTGATTCTGATTCTAAATGGAGTGGTGCTGACACCTACTGGGGGATGTAATAAGTGCAATTTGCAAGAAACAGTTTGAACATGGATCCAGTCTGATCCGTTGGTTGGTGGATTGTATAGCAGCCTATAGCTCTATGAGTTGGTGAGCGTCCAGGCACTGCAGAAGGCTGTGCTGCTGTAACCTGGTATGTGGATCTGCTCCCACTGCCTCTGTGTATCATGCTGTAAATTGTTCACTAAAGTGTTCATTACAAATTACAGGTCTCATGTTTGTATTTTGTTGGATTCTCCCTGTTGTATATGGGGCCTTTTTTTCCTACCACCGTCTCTCACCTCTATCCAGCGAGCCATGCTCTGGGTCTTGAGTCTGGTTCCTCTCAAGGTTTCTTATAGGAAGTAAATCCCTATAAGATGTACTAGCTCTTTGCATGGTTCATGCCAGCTAGGCCGGGTTTGTAGCAAATGGATTTGTGGAAGGTTTTGTAGCATACATTTATTACAGTTCATTGATTATTTATTTGAGATCTGATTAATCCAGTCCCAATCCTAAACAGGGGAATGCAATAGCAGTGGCTTGGAGGTACATCTATTCCACATGTCCTATTCACCTGCCTAAATGTCCCCAATCAACCTGCCGCAGCAAAGGTATTCCACCTTGTCTGATGTTCTTTTTTGGGGGGACTGCAGTCTGCAGTAAAATGGACCGCGTCACTCCAAATGCGTCAGGTAAACTGTCGCAAACTAGTGATGTCATCATGCGCCCCCCCCCCCCCTCTAACCCCGTTGTTTCTTTGTCGACACTGTCGCTAGCAAGCAGGAACTCGGACTGATACAAAGCTTCAATCGCAAACCCAGGTAAATTAATTACATTTTGAACTCTGTTTTTACTTTTCGCGGTGGTTCAATTGAGACCTATATTTGGTTTCGCGCTGACTGGATAGCTTTCAAATGCGGCTATGGTTGTTTGCACGCTCGTGCCGCAGTGATGCTCAATCAATGCTAACGTTAGCTAGCAAGCTATATAGCTAGCTAGTCAGTCCGCGCTATGCATAATTATCATTATTTTCACTGCATTTGACGTCGCGTTGCATAGCTGTTTACCCTTGGGAGTTTATTGGGTAAGTGTTTATGGAACATATCGACAGTTGTGCATGTTATCTTCTCTGCACAACCGCGGTTCTACGTTACCTAGCTAGTGAACCCGCCTCGAGCCGCCATCTGCGCAATATCTTGTTCGGAACATGCGTGCACAGTCCAAATGACAACCATCCATTCAATGATGGCAGTTGAGTTGATCTCTGCGGCGGGTTGCTGAGAGAAATCAAATACTAATTTCAGGTTATATTCATGGAGGACCTCAGTCGGGGGATAAACGTCTGCGTGAGAGCGACAGTGAGGAGGGAATTGAGGATTTAAGAGGGATTTACTGAAAAACTGCTGTGTCCATCCAGCAACAGGCAGCGTAGGGGGTCGCAGGAGGGATGAAATTGCACACTGATAGTTGATCCTCCTAGCTAAGTAGTTGTGCAGCCTATGCATTGTGCAGGGTTCACTTTGACTGGGGGGAGGGGGGCATTGTAAATGGTGTGCATCAGAACCATCCCATAGAGAAAATAAATATGGGAAGGTTATTCAGTGGCGTCTTTAATTCCACACTCAAACTGTTGGCAGCAGTGATTTATTAGTTAGGTTTTAGAAACATTTTGAACCGCTCCAGAGATTATTAACAGAAATGCTCTCTCGCGTGGCAGTTTGATTGCCCATTGTATGTATGCATGCGTATCCCTGCGTGATGGAATTGGGTTTGATGCTGCGTTCAAAACAACTGTGAACTCGGAAATCTCCTACTTCAGTGCGTTCAAGATAACTGGGAACTCCGAAAAAAAACTAGTTCAGACTGGGGGGGAAATAGTTTTGAACGGTCATCCAAGTCGGAAATACGGGCATCTTTCTAGAGCTCCGACCTCAAGATCACTGACGTCATGATTTGACCTCGTTTCTTGAAAGCACCAAGATTCGGGTATAGTGGCCAACAATAGTTTCACTCAACAACAGCTGTGAGACGTGACAACTAAGAGGCGATTTTGAGTTATCACGTGTTAGTCTTTTTTTAGGGGGGGTGAATGTTTGAGTTAGGCTATGCATATATAGGCATAATTTCTGAAGGCGTTCTTGTCCAGATTGATATTTTCTCAAATAATCGAATATAAAAACGATTCGCATTGCATTTCAATCAATATACTGGATCCTCTAACAAAAAATACATCCTGTTTGGGGCGGCGCATAATTGGCCCTGCGTCGTCCAGGGTAGGGAATGGCCGGCAGGGATGTAGCTCAGTTGGTAGAGCATGGCGTTTGCAACGCCAGGGTTGTGGGTTCAATTCCCACGGGGGGCCAGTATGAATAAATAAATAATGTATGCACTCACTAACTGTAAGTCGCTCTGGATAAGAGCGTCTGCTAAATGACTAAAATGATGTTTGACATAACACTACAGCACATTTGCTTTCACATGTGGTCCTCTGTAGCTCAGCTGGTAGAGCACGGCGCTTGTAACGCCAAGGTAGTGGGTTCAATCCCCGGGACCACCCATACACAAAAATGTATGCACGCATGACTGTAAGTCGCTTTGGATAAAAGCGTCTGCTAAATGGCATATTATTATTACATGACAAGGACCGATTCTTTTTAATTATTTGACGTCATTATATTATACACATCGGGTTGTGAGAAAAGTACATTCAAGTATTCAAACATGTAGCCTTGGTACCTTGAGCTTGCACCAGTTTTGGCTACATTCATACTCTGAAGTGAAACCTATGATTGAAACCATTGCATCACGTGACTCGCCCAGACTGGCTACAGAGCGTTTCTAGAGAAAGGAAAACGAAACTATTTTGCTTTTTCGTGCTGTTTCTCATGTTAAGAAACTATTAAGGCAGACTTTTCTATGTGTTTCTAATAGGCCTATCCATCATTTCACATTGTAACGTCTGGTATAAGTATCTTGAATGGTAGGGGTACTAGATTTCCCTTTAAATTGAGAAGCGCTCGTGCGGTATGTAAAAAAAAAAACGTTGTTTTTTGGGTGGGTAAAATATATAGATTTTTGAGAAATATAGCCACGTAGTTTAATTATTTTCGTTGTATTTTGACAGAACGTAACTGTTTATCTAGACTGTTTGAAGTGTAGTCACCTTCTGACCCCGGCGGTACGCGCGCAGACTTCTACATCTCTCTGCTGTTAAAAAGTGGCTGAAACCTACTCGCCTTTCTGCTGCCTTCAGGCCAGGTGGTGAGGTAGTACATCTGTATTTTATCCCGCGAACTTTAAGGTACGTTCATTGAATTAGTCTTTCTACTGTCATCGAGTCATTTATGCAACCCACAAAGCATTAACTTTTTATAAAAACACTTTGACCAGGGTGTATACTCAAAGTATGACATTCAAATATAAGTGACTCATCAATAATCCACACCGCGGCGTGTTTTAGGAACGGGAACAAACCGAAAACACGGCCAGACAATGTCTGTCCGGTCCATGGCCCAAATACGTCCTAATATTTAATGCGCCGCTCTGGATATTCCTATTGCCCATGGAGGCAGCAGAGGGAACTGAATTTGACCCATGCTGGGTTGTTATTTGGGCCAACAGGTGCCCGCTTGCATTAGGGTCAGCATGAGTCAGCCAGATCCCGCTTTGACCCTGGGGGCACCGGACCCAGTGCTGCTGCTGTCCGTTAACATTGACGTTAAAGGCGAACGGGAGCGAGTTATATATATATATATATATATATATATATATTATTATTATTAATATGGTGGCATTCGTAGCTATCGTGTCGGGAGCAGCGTGACAGACAAGTCTATGTTGTCTAGCACCATGCCTGGCAGGGCTGAAATCTGAGGAGCATGGTTGAGTGTCTTCCTGTTGTCAGTGACATATCATTGAGTGCAGGGAAGAAGCTTTGTGGTATGGGATTTTCATTAAAATGACTTTTTTCCCCTTCAATGTCATTTTCCATGCCCTTCAGATTTAGATGTAATTGGCATGAAATTAGTAGTGCATATGAAATATTTTCGCAGAGAAAATATTCAGTGAATCAATGTTGTTTGACCTGAATTTAATGTCAGGTTTGCTGTACTAGAAGTTGCCCATAATATGAAAAGGTCTTTGAAAATATCCCTATATGTTCTATGGCAAGAAGTAGAACGTGCTCAACCAACGTGAGTAGAGGTGCAACCTAAAAATGTGTAGACATCATTGGACTCTCATTAGCACCACCAGCTGAAGAGTTTTCTCCCTAATTATCTTCCCCATGCCCTGTATCAGGACTGCCCAACCCTGTTCCTGGAGAGCTACTGTCCTGTAGGTTTTTGCTCCAACCCTAATCTAGCACACCTGATTCTAATAATTAGCAGGTTGATAAGATTAATCATGTTAGTAACACCTGGGGATGGAGCGAAAACCAGGAACCGGTTTGGGCATCCCTGCCCTATATGAACTTGTCAATTCCCATTGTGATTATTCTGAAGAAGGCGGAAACTTCAATCTTTTAAACTTGTCTAATAAAACTACGTATTTTTAATGGCGAGCGAGCGCTGTGCCTTTTCCTGTCCAATGTATGTTCTATGGCAGCAGGACACCCAACCTTTTATCAAGTTCAACATCTATTATTTATCTACTGTGCGGTTGTTTAGCCTAGTCTGTCAACAGTTACAGTGGAGCAACTCCTGTCCTTCACTGACCTCCTTGAATCTTTTCTGTCTTACTGTCTCACTTTTCCTTCCTATGTGGAGCTGCAAATCATCCGTTAAACCAGAAATAAAACGGTTAAGCCACAACAGCCATTAATTATAAATGTCTAGCCTTTTTATATGGGGATCTAGTTTCGGGCCAAGTTGGATCCAACAGCATGTTACACTGGGGCTGTATTGGAGACAGGATGGGGTACAGTGGGACTGTGTAGTGTAAAAATGATTTGTCGTAAACCCTTGATCTACACTTCCTGTGTTTTCTTCCGCCCTTTTGCCATTTCCATCACCATTTTCCACTAGATTCTGACCAATCTTATGTCCCTAGTTTCTTCTTCACATTGCTTTTATATTTGGCTTTTAATGTTTTATTTCATGTCTCTTTTTCCCACCCACTCAGTCACTTTTGCTTTCGCTCATACCCATCTCGTTCTCTCTCTCAGGTGCTGACTGCCACTTTGCGATCATCGCCCACCCGGCCGTTCTGCCAGACAGTTGCTGCATCAGTATCCAACACAGAGACACATCCTCCTATCTGCTGCATAACAGGCGGCCCTGGTCCCCCCTCAACCTGCCCCCTGCGCTATGAGCAGAGGACGAGGAGGGCCCCCCATAGAGCATTACCACCGACCCCCTCTCCCCCAACTGCAGGCTAAGCAACAATACTACAGAGCTGGACCCCTGGGATTTCACCCCAGAGCCCCCCCACAACAGGCCCCACACCCAAACGTCCATTCATACATAGGCCCAGTCCCCCCTCTAGTACCACCCAGTGCCCACTCTCAGCCGCTCTACCCCTCCGCCCCTCCCCCACCCGGCCACAACCCAGCCCTGAGTCAGCAGAGCTCTTGTCCCAGTGGTCCTAACTCCTTCAGGCAGCAGCAGGTCCACTTCCTGAGGGGACAGAACACTGAGGCGCCCCAGTTTAGGGTGAGCCCCAGAGGGGCACAGAGCTTGGGTCGAGGGGGACCGAACGGACTCTATAACGGATCGAACCAGTCCCAGGCAGGGTACAGCATATACTCCCAAAACAGCTCCAGGGGGAGAGGGGGATACAGCAGCGAGCGAGGCAGAGGGAACGGTAGGGACTACCCACCCAGTCAGGGACCCCCTAGAGGACCAACCGGCCCTAGATTCTGGAACCAGAAGCAGACTTTGACCCAAAAGCAAGGCTTCAACAGACAGTGGAGCCTGCATGCAGACTGTGCTGACGGGCTGTCTTTCTCAGAAGGCTTTCAGAGTTTATCCTTAGACAGAGAGAGGTCCTACAGAGGAAGAGTTGACAGAGGCGACAGCTTTGACAAAGCTTCTGTCGGTAGTAGTAATAATTCAAACAACAAGAGTGCCCCTACAGTTCAACTACCCGACATCCGAGAGCAAGTTTTGCAAGCCTTGGCAGATTTGAGCCCCGGCGAGACACTACAAGCAAAGTGTTTGGCGAAAACGCTGCGGCTGCCCAAAAAGTTTATCAACCAGGCCCTTTACGCTCTCGAGCGTGATAAGAAAGCTTCGAAACACGGTGAAAGTCCTCCAGAGTGGACTGTCTACATAGAACCACAGGAAGAACCGGAAAGTAGAGATTCTGATCCGGAAAACCCACGTTCACAACAGAGGGAACATTCTGTGGAGGTGTCACAGGAAGGGCCTTCAGAAGATTGTTCTCTCTTCCTATCTGTGAAGGAGGAGGACGTTGTCATCGAGGCTGAGATCCAGCAAACTGAAACGCAGACCCCTGAGGGCGACAAAGAAGAAGATTACTACGTAGAATCCGATTCGCACTCCTCTTCCTCAGAACCATCCGAGTCATATCGGCAACATTCCCAGTCCCAAACCCAACAACCCAGTATCAACAGCAGCAGTAACGAAGAGCTTGACCTAGACTTTGACGAGAGAGACATGGCGGACTGCGGCAGTAACCAGAAGGAGTTGATCCTGCAGTATCTGCTGGAGGCAGGGGAGGTCACGGCCCTGGTGATCTCCAAGAACTTGGGCCTGAGGGGTGCCAAGCAGGTCAACCCCACCCTGTACGCCATGGAGAAGCAGGGCGATGTGAGCCGCAACGCAGAGGTGACCCCTCACACCTGGGAGCTGTCTGCCCACCGCAGGGAGAGGATGGAGAGGAGCCTCAAGGCCGAGCGCAGCACCCCTGCCAAGGTCGAGGGAATGGGGTCTGGATTCCAGGCGGTGCCACCCGGATTGGAGGGTCTAGGGGCCAACGATGAGGCGGTAGGTGGACACTCTCACGGCGAGGGGGGGGTGGTGGGGGGATAGGGAGTTTGGGTGGGGAATTCACTGGTGACCCCCCTCCCTCACTTGGAGCCCGTCTCCTACGGAGAGTTGGAATGGGAGGAGGAGGAGTGCGGCTGTTACCCTAGTAACATAATGTTGGTTGGAACGTTGATGGGTGAACAGAGCGCTGTAGATTCCGAGCTGAGAATGCCAGGCCTGAAACCGATCCCACTGACCCCCCAACTTCTGCCACCACCTCTTTCTTTCCTCAATTCCCTCCTATTCCTCCTCTCCATCCTTCATCCCTCTATCAGGAGGACGAGTCGAACGGAGGGCAGTGGGCGACCGACGATATCCCAGAATTCCTCAACGCCATCAGCCGGGACGGAGGGGGGACAGTGGCAGTCTCCCTGGCAGCGCCCCCACCTCAGAACCTCCGTGCCAAACTCCAGGAGGTGAGGGCCAAGAACCCAGTCAGCGGCCTGATGGAGTTCGCCCAGTACCAGGGACACAATTGCGAGTTCCTGCTCCTCGACCAATCAGGGCCTTCACATGACCCCAGGTCAGTGATGTCATAATGTTCCCAATCAATCATGGTTGGCCGTTGCTGGTATGTCTGTAAGGGGAAACTAAATGATTGATTTAGCAAATTCTGTATTTATTTTTTTAAGTGTGACGAAGCAATATCTGAGCACAGTAGCTAGCTAGATACAATGTTTTGTTGTCCCTGCTCTTTCTCTCTACCTCTCACTCCCTTGTATTTTTCTCCCTCTCAGATTCCGTATGCAGGTCATGCTGGACGGAAGGTTGTTTCCTGTTGCTGAGGCATCTAATAAAAAGGTGGCGAAGAAAGATGCCGCCTCAGCGACCCTGAGGATTCTGCTTCGCGAGATAGAGGGGGGAGGGGCTGAGGAGGGGCTCACTGCAGGGGTGGACCAGGCCATGGACCCCACATCTGACATCCCTGTAAGTCTGAAGTGTGTTCTTGTGTGTGGAGGTTAATGATAATACATGTGCTCTGTGTTGTGGTTGATTGTGTGGTGTAAAGGCCACACAATCAATTTTTAAAATAATTTTATAACTCCTCTCTCTTCCTCCCTTGCTGTCTCTGTCTGTCTCTCTCTCCCTCTCTGTCAGGAGGTAGTGGAGGGTCCGCCCCAGGCCCTGTCCCGTTCCCTGCCGGGGGGTAAGAACCCAGTGTCCATGCTGATGGAGTACAGTCAGCGCACTGGAAACCCGATCGAGTTCATCAACACTGGACAGGAGGGCCCACCTCACGACCCACGGTATCCATCTGTCTACATCCTTCTCATCAGGGATGGGGTCGATTCGAATTGAAGTCAGTCAATTCAGGAAATAAACTGACATTCCAATTCATTAATTGAAAAAATAGCATCCGTTTTCAATGATGTCTCTGTAAACTGAAAAGGAGAAGCTATTTATTTCACGTTTTTCCATTTTTGAATTTTAAATTCAAATCACTTCCTGAATTGAGTGACTTCAATTCGAATTGAGCCCAACCCTGCTTCTCATCTTTCTCTCCCTGTTCCTCTCTCCTCCTCTTCTATACATAAATCCATCATTAGGAAAGGTGGGCCTGCCCCCACCCTCACCTCTCTTTCTCTCTCCCCCTCCCTCGGGAGCAGTTATTTGTGTCCTGGATGACTTTCATACTGCAGCAGTCTGCTGACTGGGGGACACAACAGCACCTCTGTCTCTCTCTGCATATATCCTTCCCCTAGGCACCTACTGTACTGTCCCGCAGTAATCTGATACTGGGAAGTGTGACCATCTTTGTCCCTCTCCTCCATCCTCTTCCTCCTCCTAAGTGATGTAGTCTCTGTGAAGCAGATTCACAGCTCTGCTCTTTGATGCCCCCATGTGGTTAGAGAGGGATGTCCTCTTACTACTCTCACTGATGTATGTTTAGGATGTATATGTTAATCTCTGTTCCCTCCTCCTCAGGTTCATGTTCAGGGTGAAAATAGGGGAAAGCCTGTGTGCTGAGGCCTCAGCCCCCAGTAAGAAGGCTGCCAGGCAGCTGGCCGCAGAGGAGGCCGTCAAGGAGTTAATGGCCGACGGGAGACTGCAGCTCAACAAGGTGAGTAAAGGACCCGAACATGGCACTGAAAGATTTTAAAAACTAAATGGATGGTTCCCTAAAAAAACACTACCCCATTAACTTAGGATTTAGGCTTGACAAACATTGGCTCTGGGACAAGCTAGCTAGCTATTTAGGATGTCATAAGACCCAGTCATGTGGACTTTTCTCATTGTGCCTCCAGGCAGTGATTCTCAGAAAATATCATCTGACCACTAAGATCACTCTTCCCTCTACTCCTACCATCTTTTCACTGCCTCATCTCTTTTCTTTCCTCCTCCTCCCTCGCTCTCATCCCCTCTTTCTGCTTCTACCCTTCTTCCATCCATTGCCCCACCTTCCCCCTCTCCACCTGTCCTCTCCTCCCTCCAGCCCCAGTTCCCCCTGTGTCTGTCTGGTGATGAGGGGGGCTTCATGCCCGCTTGCCCCTCCCTGCCCCCTCTGACAGAGGAGGAGCTGCGTTCTGCCCACGAGGCGGGGGTTGGTGACCTCATCAGCCACCTGAACAACAACGCCGTGTCAGGCCTGCTGGAGTACGCCCGGGCCAGGGGCTTTGCTGCAGAGATACGGCTGGTCGGGCAGTCAGGACCACCGCACGAGCCCAAGTCAGTACACATACATTTGCATACACACACATGCTAACATACACACTCTAAAGTGTAATTCAGAGTCCAGAGCTGTGATAGTCCATTGAGACATGAAAGCCAACAGTCTAATATTCTAAAACGCGGCTGTGCATACATGGATGCGATTTGGACTCTGATAAGTGCTTAACTCTACCCCCCTCTCTCTCAGGTTTACCTACCAGGCTAAGCTAGGGGGTCGCTGGTTCCCTCCTGTCTGTGCGTCCAATAAGAAGCAAGGGAAACAGGAAGCAGCTGACGCAGCTCTGAGGGTTCTGATTGGAGAGGCTGAGAAGGCTGCCCGCACCGGGGAACTAACCCCTGCAGAGGTCAATTTACCACTATTACTATACTACTTTTTAAAACTATGGGTCAGGACCCACAGTGGGCCTTGGGCATGTTAGAGGTGGGTTGTGAGTGAGGAGAATACACCTAGAATCACACACTATTTCATCTTAATTTGGGTTGCTGGTGGATAATTTTGGGTCACGGGAGGACGGTCAGTTTCTCATTGGGTCTCGAGCTGAAAAAGTTTAAGAGTGCCACCTATACTATAAATACACTGTTAATACTACGGTTATGCCTTAATCTACTTTTGTGACTGGTGGGCCATCCATTACCTGTTATTGTTTCTGTCTCTCTAGCTGCCACTGAGTGGTGGGACCATCCATGACCAGATCGCAATGTTGAGTCACCAGCGCTTCAACGCCCTCACCACACGCATACAGCACAGTCTTCTGGGAAGGAAGATCCTCGCCACCATCGTCATGAAGAGGGGGGAAGGGCTGGGGACCGTGGTCAGCCTGGGAACAGGTACCTGTCGTGTGTGTGTTTGTATGCGAGGGAAAAGAGAGCCATTTGGAATGATTTTTATCTTAACCCTTTGAGATACAAATAAATGTATTTTTGTTTGTAATTCTCCTCAGGAAATCGTTGCGTTAAAGGGGAGGAGCTGAGTCTTAAAGGGGACACCGTTAATGACTGCCACGCAGAAATCATCTCCAGGAGAGGATTTATCAGGTAGGAAGTTACTGCTGCTCATTTCTTTTCTTCCATTCTCTGTCCTTTATATAACCACACTCTTTTTCCTCTTCCTCCTCCTTTGCTCTTCGTTTTGATTCCTTTAAAGCTACTCTACCTGCCTTTCTAAAACCTCCCTTTCTCTGTGTCTCTCTGTGTGTATCACTCTACAGGGTGTCATATGTCAGCTGTGAAGTCATTACAGACTGTGATGTGTGTTAATGTGTCTGTGGAGTCCATCTTGTTAGTTGTAGAGTGTTAACGCCACTTACCAGATCCTCTGTTTCTCCAGCAGTCTCCCTTTATCTGTGTTGGATCCTGGACTCTGTCACTTATCTGAATCACTCAAATAAATATGAATTCTACCTTTCCTCTCACCCCATCTATCTCTCTTGCTCTCTCTCCTACCCCTCCCTCCAGGTTTCTGTATGCTGAGTTGCTGAAGCACTGTGAAGGATCAGAGGACAGTATATTTGAGCCAGCTGAGGAGAACAAGCTCCGGGTGAAACCTGACACCACCTTCCACCTCTATATCAGGTGGGCCTACGGAATATGTTTCTCCCTCCCTCGTTTCTTGACCCTTCACCCCCTGGCTTGTCTTCTCTCCCCATTCCCTCTGTGCCCTGGAACTCAACTGGGCCACCAACCCACACACATTGTTCTAGGGGGTTGAGAAGCCAGGGTTTTTTCTGCATAGAAAAGTATTGGGCGGGCCGCCTAAGGGTTTTCGGGCCACCTATGTCCAAACAGTAAAATAAAATGTTTAGAAAATGATTTTCGGGGTGGAATTTCTCCCCCGGTGTAAACTACAACCAGATGTAGAAAATATAATTGACATGTATATATTTAAATAAGGTCCTCTTTGAGAACTAACAATCCCGAAAATAAAAGCTAGACAAAATGATGCATTCAGGAGTATTTTTGTCATGGCATGGGGCCCCATTGATTTTGTTGTCTTAGTCCCTCAGATAAAATAAGCCATGGCGAAATGTGTAGAATTGCAGGAAATTATCCTTTTAAAACAGCAAATTTTGTCGCCGGCCAACAGGAGGGCCTCTAAAATATTTGGTTGGCGACCGCACCATTGGCCACGCCCACCACCTAAGCACCATTTTGATCCAGAAAAAACCCTGGAAGATACTTCCTGTTAACGACGTGCTCCTGTCAACATATCCATCTCCCCCTCTCTCTTTCTATCTCTCCCCCTCTCTCAGTACTGCTCCGTGCGGAGACGGGGCGTTGTTTGATAAGTCGTGCAGCGAGGACGCAGGGGACGGCCAAGGCCACCAGCCCCTGTTTGAGAACGCCAAGCAGGGCAAGCTGCGCACCAAGGTGGAGAATGGTGAGTTACAGCCAGACGCCATCTGCAGGACAGTTCCATGGGGCTTCCCTCTGTTACTGAGGACAAGCACATAGAGCTACCGTGTTTCTGAACTCCCCTCCCTGCAGGCAAAACAGAGCATGACTAAACATTCACACCTCATTTGCTGCTGCTGCCACATGCACACCTGGTAGACAGGACAGAAATGTCCCAATGGATTCTAATGTTCCAATCTGGAGCATGGACTGTGTGGTTGGTTCTAGTGTACAACCATCACTTTGACCACTGGCACTCTCAAATGACACCCTAATCCTCATATAGTGCATGGCTTCATCTTTGGAGTCAAAAGCTGAACTGGAAGGTTGTCTTTGTGCCTGCGTGTAGGTGAAGGCACCATCCCGGTAGAGTCATCGACCATCGTGCCCACCTGGGACGGCATCCAGCACGGCGAGCGTCTGAGGACCATGAGCTGCAGCGACAAGATCCTTCGCTGGAATGTCCTGGGGCTGCAGGGAGCCCTGCTCTCCCACTTTCTCCATCCTATCTACCTGGCTTCAATCACCCTGGGTAAAGAGGGAGTGGAGAATGGAGGGAGTGGAGAATGGAGGGAGTGGAGAATGGAGGGAGGGGAGAGTGGAGACTGGAGGGAGTGGAGACTGGAGGGAGGGGAGGAAGGAAGGAACGATAGTAGATAGAGGAAGGAGGGATGAGGAAGGAGACAGTAAACATTTGAGGGAGGATAGATTGGAAAAGAGTGAGGGAGGATAGGTTGAGTGTGGGAGTAGAGGGAGAGGGGGGGTCACCGTTGGGTTCAGTCATGTTTAACAAACTCCACTCTTAAGTAGACCATAGATCTGAATCCTAAACTACATCGTCCTAATACTGTAGGAATCTTGGCCAGCTTACTATCCATCCACCCAGACAGTCCCTGGCTAACCCCTCAGACATCCACTGCATCTCCCTAAGTTACTCACCTCTCCTTGTCAGAGTACACTATGATGTGAATGATCACCACAGCCTTGTTAACATGGAAATGCACTGACTCACACAAATACACACACTCTCCACCTCCTCTCTCTCCACCCCTCCTCTCTCTCCCACCCTCCTCTCTCTCTCTCCCCCTGCTCTCTCTCCCCCCCTCCTTCTCTCTCCCCCCTCTCCTCCCTCCTCTCTCTCTCTCTCCCTCCTCTCTCTCTCCCCCTCTCTCTCTCCCCTCTCTCTCTCTCCTCTCCCCCCTGCCTCTCTCTCCCCCTGCTCTCTCTCCCCCCCTGCTCTCTCTCTCTCCCCTGCCTCTCTCCCCCCTGCTCTCTCTCCCCCCTTTCTCTCTCTCCCCCCCTGTTCTCTCTCTCCCCCCGTCTCTCCCCCCCTGCTCTCTCTCTCCCCCCTGCTCTCTCTCTCCCCCCCTCCCTCTCTCTCCCCCCCTGCTCTCTCTCTCCTCCCCCCTGCTCTCTCTCCCCCCTGCTCTCTCTCCCCCCTGCTCTCTCTGCTCTCCTCCCCCCCCTGCTCTCTCTCTCTCCCCCCTGCTCTCTCTCTCCCCCCCTGCCCTCTCTCTCTCCCCCCTGCTCTCTCTCTCCCCCCCTGCTCTCTCTCTCCCCCCCTGCTCTCTCTCTCCCCCCCTGCTCTCTCTCTCCCCCCCTGCTCCTCTCTCCCCCCCTGCTCTCTCTCCTCCCCCCCTGCTCTCTCTCTCCCCCCCCTCTCTCTCTCTCTCCCCCCTGCTCTCTCTCTCTCCCCCCCTGCTCTCTCTCTCCCCCCCTGCTCTCTCTCTCCCCCCTGCGCTCTCTCTCTCCTCTCCCCCCTGCTCTCATCCCCTCTCTCCCCCCCCTGCGCTCTCTCGCTCTCCCCCCTGCTCTCTCTCTCCCCCTCCCCTGCTCCTCTCTCCCCTCTCTCCCCCCCTGCTCTCTCCTCTCTCCCCCCCCCCTGCTCTCTCTCTCTCGCTCTTCTCGCCCCCCTGCTCTCTCCTCTCTCCCCCCTGCCCTCTCTCGCTCCCCCCCTGCGTCTCTCTCTCCCCTGCTCTCTTCTCTCCCCCTGCTCTCTCTCCCTCTCCTCCCCCCCTGCTCGCGCTCTCTCTCCCCCCTGCTCTCTCTCTTTCCCCCCCCTTCTCTCTCTCTCCCCCCCTGCGCTCTCTTCTCGCCTCCCCCCCCCTGGCTCTCTCTCTCTCTCCTCTCGCTCCCCCTGCTCTCGCTCTCTCGCCCCCTCTCTCTCTCTCCCCCCTACCTGCTACTCTCATCACCCCCTGCTCTCTCTCTCTCATCCCCCTAGCTCTCTCCTCACCCTCCTCCTCTCTCTCTCTCCCCCCCTCCTCTCCTCTCTCCTTCTCTCTCCCCTCCCCACCTCCTCGCCCCCCCCCCCTCCTCTCTCCTGTTTTGTTTTCCCCATCCTTGTCTCTTATGTTTGTCCCTCCAGGCTACTTGTACAGCCATGGCCACCTGACACGTGCTGTCTGCTGCCGATTGGCCAGAGACGGCGAAGCCTTCTCCAAGAGTCTACCTGCTCCCTACACACTCAACCACCCAGAGGTAAACACACACAGAAACACACTCAACCACCCAAAGGTAAACACAAACGTGCACACACTCAACCACCCAAAGGTAAACGCACACACACAGAAACACACTCAACCACCCAGAGGTAAACACAAACGCACACACACAGAAACACACTCAACCACCCAAAGGTAAACACAAACGCGCACACACTCAACCACCCAAAGGTAAACACAAACGCACACACACAGAAACACACTCAACCACCCAGAGGTAAACACAAACGCACACACACAGAAACACACTCAACCACCCAAAGGTAAACACAAACGCACACACACACAGAAACACACTCAACCACCCAAAGGTAAACACAAACGCGCACACACTCAACCACCCAAAGGTAAACACAAACGCACACACACAGAAACACACTCAACCACCCAGAGGTAAACACAAACGCACACACACAGAAACACACTCAACCACCCAAAGGTAAACACAAACGCACACACACACAGAAACACACTCAACCACCCAAAGGTAAACACAAACGCGCACACACTCAACCACCCAAAGGTAAACGCACACACACACAGAAACACACTCAACCACCCAGAGGTACACACAAACGCACACACACAGGAAAAACACAGGAACATACTCAGCCACCCAGAGGTAAACACAAACGCACACACACAGAAACACACTCAACCACCCAGAGGTACACACAAACGCACACACACAGGAAAAACACAGGAACATACTCAGCCACCCAGAGGTAAACACAAATGCACACACAGGAAAAACACAGGAACATACTCAGCCACCCAGAGGTACACACAAACGCGCACACACACAGGAAAAAACAGAAACACACTCAACCACCCAGAGGTAAACACACACACTATCAACCCCCCCGAGGTAAACACACACACTACAGTCAACCAGCCAGTGGTTCCGCTCCAAGCTTCCAGCATAGCCATTAACGCAGACATTGCTTTACGCTCTATTTGGAATTGTTGATTCATCTGAAAGGATTTATTTAGTCTAATTCAAATCAAAATCAAATGTTATTGGTCACATACACATATTTACATACATATTTAGCAGCTGTTGTTGCGGGTGTAGCAAAATGCTTGTAATTGAACACAAACCCTCTTTTCCTCTCCCTTTACCCCTCTCTATCCCTCCCCTCTGTCCCTCCCCTCTGTCCCTCTGTCCCTCCCCTCTGTCCCTCTATCCCTCCCCTCTGTCCCTCCCCTCTGTCCCTCCATCCCTCCCCTCTGTCCCTCCATCCCCCTCTCTCCCTCCAGGTGGGCAGGGTGAGTGTGTATGACTCGACGCGTCACACAGGGAAGACCAAGGAGTCCAGCGTGAACTGGAGCCACCCAGACCACATCACTGTGGAGGTTCTGGACGGGACCAAGGGCAAACTGGACGGGTACGCACCCCGCACCACAACTAGAACCAGACCCTCAGACCTGGATCTAAACCCTCATCCAGATAGCAGCACCAGGTGGTTAACCTGGACACACAGGGCCCCCTTTTAGTAGAATAGCTATCACGATTTATACTCAATATCGAGTAGTGACATTTCATTCAAATTAAAAACATGTTGAAAATGTTTCAATCCCAGCGTAATAGCTTCTGTGTATTCCTAAACCCTGTTTGTCTTCCTTCTAGCCCCAAACTGGACGTGTCGCGGGTCTCCAAGTCCAACATCTTCCGTCAATTCCGGTCGTTATGCCAACAGTGCGGGCGCCAGGATCTGCTGGCTCTCCCATCGTACGCCCAAGCCAAGATGGCCGCCGTGTCCTTCCAGGTCGCCAAGCAGCAGTTCTTCGAGGCCCTGGGTAGCCATGGTTATGGAGCCTGGATTGGCAAGCCATTGGAGGAGAAGAGTTTTGACGAAGCGGCGGCCTTCGATGGCCAAGGGGCAGGAAGTGTTGCTAATAGCAACCAAGGATACAACAACAACAATAGCTATGGAAGCACAACCACTGACTATAACAGCAGCCAGTGGGGTAGTAGTGCGTACACACAGGCCATGTAGAAAGGAGGGAGGAGAGGGGGAGGGTAGGGTTGGCTAGAAAGATAGAGGGGCGGGAGAGAAGGACATGAGCCTGGATGACAGAGGGAGAAAGGAAGGAGAGGAAAGAGTAGCTAGCAGCGAGTACTGTTTCTTGAAAGAAGGAGTAGAGGTCAGACAGAGAGAGTGGGGAAAGGTCAGTTACTGAGATGGAGGGAGGGAGGAGACAAGGGGATAACAGGCAAGCCCAAGGGGTGAGGGTCATACAGCAGCGAGGGAGAGAAAGAAGGGGTTGCCACTGCTACACAAAACAGGATATACAAAGAAAGAGATGGGGGGGTTTAGTAAAAATGATTATCTGATGTAGTGACATTCAGAGCTGCACAGCATGCACTACTGCTCCACTGTAACGGTAGCCCCAGTACACACACTATCATCACATTACATACAGGCAAAACCCTCCCTGCCCATCTCTCATACGCACACAACACAACCCTCAGTCTCTCTAGTTCAGACACCTGACCCTGTCGTACTCGCCAGTCAGCCATTCAATCACGCATGACTAGTTTAACCTGTACTTATCAGCCTGAGCATGGATAGTAGTGATCACACTTTATATATATATATATATATATATATATATATAAACCAGCCTTGTAACGTTTAGCTACTCCCCGACCTAGTAACCCACCCTTTACACTGTTATTAATGCTATGGCTACGTCTGCAGGTCACCGGCCCGGTCCATCCCATTACTCTTGACTGTAACATAGATTTGCTGATGATGTTGACTAACTAGCCTAGATCATAATTATTCTGTTATTATTGTGTCCTGTGTAGTGTGTATCGCTATTGTTCTTGAGTTTTATGGTGTAGTCACTCGGGGGGCCACGTCAGAAAGGACAACGGTGACGTTGAGAACTGCTGAGAACAAGTAAATCAGCTACTTGTTCTCATTTTAGGATTCAGGTTAGGAGGGGGGTCAAAGTTCAGGTTAGGATAATTGATTACTGGTAGTTGTGGTAAAAAATTTAAAAAAAGGGGCTTTGCATTCTTGTCCTTTCTAGCGTGGCCAGATAGTGGCCAGCGGGTTTTAGGCGGACAGGGAGAAAGACGGGTTTGTTTTTATGTTTTAGTTTAGTCTGATCAAATACATTCAAGGGTGAAGCAATATATACATCATGTACATACAAATACATAAATACACAGATGTATATGCAATAGCGACGTTTGTGTAGGGTATGTATATATCTCTGTGTGTGTATGTATATGTATATATTATGTATATATTTTGTAAGTCATGCCTAAAATTGATTTTCTATTGACTATTTTTTTGAAATGTTTTAACAAGTGGATGACAGAAAGCATTTTTTTTTTCTATGGATGGAAAATGTCAAGTTTTAAGTGATTATAAAGACCGGCTTTGTAAAAGCTGAAATGTGTGTTTTGTCTTTTTTTTATATACACTAAAGCCCTCAACCTTGGGTACAGACTGTTAGCCAAGTATAAACAGTCAACACACGTTTGAGAATGTTTAGTGTCTATCTTGGTTTCTTCAGTCTATAGAAATTATTCTATACACGTTTGAGAATGTTTCTTCAGTCGTGTTTGTCTCCTGTACAGAAAGAGTGATCGTTCGTTTAATCTATGGACTCCCTACTGTTGGTGCGTGTGTGTTAGGGATTCTACCGTTAGACTTCAGAGAGGACGTCGTCTGCTGGAGCATCGATCTTCTTTACTCAACACTGATCCAATGAACGGAATAAGAGAGCTGTGTGTGTTTACAAGTTATTCAGCCCCTCAGTGGGACTTTGAGGGTATATTACATCATTAGTGTCTGTCTTGTTGATATTCTCTGTCTGAGCTGAATGTTGTCAGATTAGGCCCGGGGAGCTGTGAGAGTCTGACCAGAAGAGCTCTGGCTGAACTGAATGTTGTCAGGCTAGGTCTGGGGGAGCTGTGAGTGACCAGAGCAGAGACGTCATGCCCATAGGAAGCACAGGGGCACGTGCCCCCTCAGATTTGTCAAGTTTTAAATAAATGTGTTAATGTTTTGTTGTTTCTCTGTAATACTGGTAGCCACTAAGCAATTTTATGAAGTTGGCTTTAGCTAGCCCAGATAGGTTCCCAGTCTCCCAACCTTATAACTAGCTGCCATTTCAGGCTATTAATCAAGTTAGAGTAGCTAGCGTGTCTAACTATCTTAGCTGGCGTGCCTGCTGGCAAGGTTGGTAGACTTTAGAAAAGCAAACAATTACTAAATTAATTGAGTGAGACTCATTCCTTTCAATCTTTTACCCAGAATTTAGCAAAGATGCAGAGAAGCATATTTAGTTTCTTAAAAACAACCACCAGTCTGGAGGATACAGACAGCTCAAGAGGTATGATTAGATATGCAGATATTTTTTTGTACAAAGCTGTGTGAACTGAATGTTGTCAGGCCTGGGGAGCTGTGTGAACTGAATGTTGTCAGGTCTGGGGAGCTGTGTGAACTAAATGTTGTCAGGCTAGGTCTGGGCAGCTGTGTGAAATTAATGTTATCAGGCTAGGTCTGTGGAAAGTGTGACCAGAAGAGAGAGCTGCAGTACCATCACTCACCACAAGATGGAGCCTTGTCATCACTGACTGCAGGCCCAGAGGGTGCGTGTGTACGTCTGTCTGTGTGTGTAAGTCCCAGGTGACCTGTTAGTCATGCTTAAGAACCTGATAGAAACAGACAGAATCTGTGAGAGACATGTCTTACGAGTACCTTTACAGTTTTTTCTGCGTATTACATCAATAAACCAGATTAAGTCATGTTATGAAGCCCTATTTGGTTTGATTTGAATTCATTACACACCGATCTTTCACTTCAAATAACTCATAGACCACTGATACAAATGCTCAGTTGGTGAGTCCATCTGGTCTATCAGGCTGCTCTCTGTGTGTGTGTCTGTCTGTCTGTCTGTTCACTTTGTCTGGTCACTGACACTATCACACCTAGCTCGAAGCGCAGTATGAGAAAGAAAAGGCCTTTAGTGTGTGTGTGTGTGTGTGTGTTTCCTGACCTCCTGTGTCGAGCCTATGTGCGCTTGACCTGTCAGTTGGATTTATTCTGTCAATCAGTCTCTCTAATACAATCAGTCACCTTTTAGAGGTAATGAAGGTGGGACTAATGAGAGAGAGGGAGAGAAGAGGGAGAGAGAGCTGGGGAGATAGAGTGAAATATTAGTCCAGACTGAATGGCTTAAATGAGCCAATCAATGCACTCGGATATAAATAAATGAGAGAAGGGAATAAGGGAATACAAGAGGGAGAAGTAGACAGAAATGGCCAGAAAGAATAGAAAACAAGAAGAGAGGTGAAAACTGTGTGTGGTAGTCATGGCTACAGTGGTGAAGAGCATGAGAGAGAGATCACTTTGTAGGAAAGATGGGAGGATGAGAAAGTGAGTGTGTGTGTTTTCGTGTGTGTGTTTGTAGATGAGAGAGAATCTGTCAGTGTCACTTAGCCAAAAGGTTGCAGACAGCTGACTAAGTAAGAATATGTTACACCCTTTCAGACACACACACACACACACTCCACTCCCGTGTACACTCATACACTCGCCTCGTGTCTCACGCTGACACTGCAAAATACTAGTTAGCCTCTGAACTCCTCAAACACTTCCAAGTAGCATTAGTGACAGACACTCACACGCTCACTCTTCTGATGTGACATCCCCAACAGCTCATGGCATTGGCACCTCTACTTCAAAAGGTTGATTCTCCCCAGCATACACACACCTACACACCCTCTTATATTCGCTCTCTCACACACACACTTCTACAGGGATTTACACTGAGTATACCAAACATTAGGAACACCCTTTTGCCTTCAGAACAGCCTCAATTCATCGGGGCATGGACTCTACAAGGTGTCGAAAGCGTTCCACAGGGATGCTGGCCCATATTGACTCCAATGCTTCCTACAGTTGTGTCAAGTTGGCTGGATGTCCTTTGGGTGGTGGACCATTCTTGATACACACGGGAAACTGTTGAGCGTGAAAAACCCAGCAAAGTTGCAGTTCTTGACACAAACCGGTGCGCCTGGCACCTACTACCATACCCCATTCAAAGGCACTTAAATATTTTGTCTTGCCCATTCACCCTCTGAATGGCACACATACACAATCCATGTCTCAATTGTCTCAAGGCTTAAAAATCCTTCTTTAACCTGTTTCCTCCCCTTCATCGACACTGATTTCAAGTGGATTTAACAAGTGACATCAATAAGGGATCATAGCTTTCACCAGGATTCACCTGGTCTGTCTGTCATGGAAAGAGCAGGTGTTCTTAATGTTTTGTATACTCAGTGTATATAGCTGATTTACTTTCTCCTGTTCTTCTTCTTTCTATTTTTTGTGTGTTTTTGTTCTACTTAACTTTACATTTATAGTACTATTGATTACTGCATTGTTGGGAAAGAGCAAGCAAAAAAGGAATTTCACTGTACTTGTCCACGTGACAATAAAACTTGGAACACAGGCAGCACAGCGTGAGGCTGCATCATAGCTGCATTAGTGGGCTTGTGTCAGCAAGTCGCAAGAACACACTGGACCTACAAAATATATTCAGCTGCTTTGGAAGAAATAATCAGTGTTGCTTTATGATCAAAAACCTAGAATAATAAAGAAACAGATACTCAAACTTGTGCATGAGTGTCTTGACAAAGTGTGGCAATAGAGAGGACTTCTAAGACTGGCATAGCCACTGTATCAATTCATCCCATTATCAGCATACAAAATCCTTTGTAACTCGTCTACTATTCACTAAATCATTGGTAATTGGACTATATTCTCTACTGACATACTGTCAAATAGCTGTGACTGTGTCTCCCTGTTCACTGACGCTATGACACCTAGCTCAAAACGAAGTATGGGAATGGAAGGGTCTTTAGTGTGTGTGTGTGTGTGTTATATGTAGTGTCCTTTCATTAAAAGGCGAGATGTTCCCTCCACTTAGATGGAAGCAGGAACACATTACGGAGAGCTCTCTCTCTCTCCCT